GTGGTGGTGGTGGTAGTGGTGGTACCGCCTACGCGGTGGCACAGTGTGTCGAAACAATCACCAGCAGTGGTTGTCAGGCATGTTTGACAATAGCTTACAATCACATGCGCATTTGTTTGCCAGTATCTGCAGATGGAAGAGCTGTTGAAGTAGGTTGCTTCCTAAGATACTCAGACACACAATTTTTCCCTGATAACCAGACAACTAACCTGCAACCCTTTCTTCCAGGAGGTATAAAATTCTGTATGTTCTCTTCATGTTTCTTAACCACTCCTTTTTGCCATGTACACAACAGCCTTCAATTCACTCTGTATATATATATGCAGATTCTGTAACACCTTCTCCAGGGAGTTCAGGAAAGAAGAAAGCTATTATTGGGGGGGTAGTGGGAGGTGTAGGAATCATTTTGGTATTAGCAGCCATTTTCCTTTGGTATAGACAATCAAAAAACCCAAAGGCTTCAAGAAGAGGTGAAGCTCAATCGTTTAGCTTTGGTATTTTCTTTTAGTTGAAACATAGAGTTTTCACTGTTTGGTTAACTTATGGACTGTCTTCTTCCTTGTATAGGCAATATTTTGGGGGCAACTCAGTTCAGAGGTTCAGAGAACTACAGATACAAAGATTTGAAAACTGCAACAAAGGATTTCAGCGAAGAAAATAAACTGGGTGAAGGAGGTTTTGGTGATGTATACAAGGTCAATAACAAAGATTATTCCACTAAAAAGAAGTCAATTTCACTATTTCCTCATTCTTTTTCTTGCTCATATTATTACAATTTGTCAGTGAATTGAAGAAACTTCAGAAACAATAACCAAAATCAATCTTCTATGACTTAATAGGGCACGCTACAGAATGGGAATGTGGTGGCAGTAAAGAAACTGACAATGATTTCCAGTAGAGCAATGGCAGACTTCGAGACTGAAGTTAGGCTTATTACAAATATTCATCATCCCAATCTCATTTGTCTATTGGGATATTCTGGCAATGCAGAAGAGCTGCTACTGGTTTATGAATACATGGCAAATGCCAGCCTTGACAGATACTTATATGGTGGGTGCAGTGCTCCTAAAACATATATTGTTATTGTTAGCAATCTTTAATTTTGATCTGGCTCTAATGATCTTGTGGTGGGGTTTATAAAGTTTTCCCATTTCATGATTGGCAGGACAGAATCGGGGGAGGCTGAATTGGAAGCAACGGGTTGATATAATATTTGGTACAGCTAGAGGTCTTTCCTATCTGCATGAGGTGTCTATTATACACAGAGACATAAAATCCAGCAATATACTACTAGATGATGAATTCCAGCCAAAAATAGCTGATTTTGGTTTGGCAAGGCTTTCACCTAAAAATAAGAGTCATCTTACCACTAAATTTGCAGGGACTTTGTAAGCCTACCTAACACCCTCATTTCTTTGACACATTTTCTTTTCCACATCTTTAATTTCACTGAATTATATATTATTGCTTGTTGCAACAGGGGATATACAGCGCCAGAGTATGCAATTCATGGTCATTTATCAGAGAAAGTTGACATCTACAGCTTTGGCGTTGTGATCCTGGAGATCATTAGTGGGCGAAGGAGTAGTGACATATGAGTTGAGCCTGTAACTGAGTATCTCCTTGAACTGGTAATGTCTTGTCTGAAGAAGCTGGTTTGTTTATGTTGATATCTTAAACATTATTTGACTTTTGCATTGCATCATTTTATAAATACAGGCATGGAAACTGTACGAGAATGAGGAACATCTAGGACTCGTGGATACGAGTTTAGACCCAAATGAGTATAAAGCAGAAGAAGTGAAGAGAATGTTGGAGATTGCATTGGTGTGCACACAATCACCTTCCAATCTAAGGCCAAGCATGTCGGAAGTGATGGGCATGCTTTCAAGTATTGATGGCTCAATCATTCAGAGACCCCAAAACAGGCCTACTATTATTACTAATAATTTCGATAATATGAGGGTACCTGCAGTCACTGCAACACCTTCTAATGCCACAATTTCACTTTCTGAATTCTCAGGCCGCTAGCTAGCTAGGCTTTTAGAAACGAAACGAAAATTATTTATGGATTCTCATGGAATAAAATTTTTGTCATTTGTGTGATTTTATTGATAGAAAGTAGTTGAAAAGGAAGTGGAAGAAGGTATAATTCCTGACTGGAATATGTTGCTGCTAAACTTGCTGCAAATGTAGTTAAATCCTGGCCATTGGAGCTAGGTTACCTTTAATTTCTGAGTTCTAAGTATGCAATTCTGGAAAGGATTGCCCTGACAAATTAGATGCCAACAGCACACTCTGGAACTGTTAACAAGGACCTTGCGGAACTGTTATATTGGATTTTAAGAAGAATTTCAGTGGACATTGGTTAAGTAATATTCAATCATATCATGTCCTTTCAAGGGAGTAAAGAAGCCGAAGTCTCCTTACTATTCTCAAGCCTAATCTACGTTGTTATGTATAAACAAGGCTTTAGAAAATGTAGCTTTGAATAGTTGGAAGAGGTTGCCACGGGCTAGTTTAGGATCGAACCATTCCTGAATTGACCCCAAAATAATGGATTTGGGCTTTAATGGACTTAGTCTAAACCTAAACATGGACCGGAACCATCCTATATAGGCTGGTTTTGGTCCTAGGAAATAAAAGCCGAGGCCCAACTCAGAATCGGTCCAGGAACAAGCCAAGAATTGAGCCTGGACCCAGGAGGCAAGAGCAGGCTCGGGACGGGCGGCAAATTATTGTGTGGACCATGGTCCACACAATGTTACGTGGACCATAACAAAAAGTACATTTTTAATATATTAAATATACATTATTTTTGTATTGAATGTATATTATACAATATAATGTACACTCAGAACAAAAATAATGTACATCCCCTGAATACAATGTACATTATTTTTGTATTGAATGTACATTATTTTTGTTCTGAATATACATTATTTTATAGTAGACAAAATATGGTCTACACAACTTGTGTGGACCATGGTCCACACAATAATGATTGGGACGGGGCGGCTGCTTGGCAAGTTTGCAGTGACATGTTGTCAACTTGTCACTCTGGCATGGCATATCAACGGAAGGTACATAATGGCCATGTTTGGTAAAATGGTTGTTAGCTGTTAGCTGATTTTGTTAATTAGATGGTATAAATAGTTGATAACATTAGCTGATTGTAGAAAAGTGTTTGGTAAATTAGCTGTTAGCTGATAGCTGTTTGGTATAATTTTTTTTTTTCAAAAAGCTAATTGAAAAAGTTGCTTGAAGTAGCTTTTTGAATTTTAACATTTTGGAGTTGCAAAAAGCTAATTAACCAAACATTTATATTGATATTTTAACTAAATTAAACAATTAATAGTGGTCAAATAAGTCAAAATTAGCCCATAGGCCAATTTTTTTACCAAAAAGGGCCAATATATTAACTACTTATTATGTGCATGTAGTTAACATATTATGTGCCTTCAATTTATTTATAGACACATGAGAGTGTTTGGCAAATAGCTGCTAGCTGATTTGGTTGACTGATTTGATTACATGATAACATTAGCTGATTATAGAAAGATATTTGGTAAATTAGTTGTTAGTTGATAGCTGATTAAATGAAAAAATGACTTTTAAGGATATAATTTATTTTTTCTTAAAAAAAGATAATCGAAAAAACTGTTTTGAGTAACTTTTTGAATTTTAGCGTTTTGAAGCAATAAGTTAGTTACAAAAATCTGATTAACCAAACACTTATATTGACTGTTTAACCAAGTCAAACAGTTAATGGTGATCAAATAAGCCAAAATTATTAACTTATAAACTAACTATGTTACCAAACAAAGCCATAATCTATTAACTCAATGTATGTACTATGTTAATTGCAGACACATAATATCTCAAGAAATAATATAGTTAAAAAAAATCTTTATCCAACATCTGAAATTGTTTTTCAAAATGGAACTCTTTTATCCAAATAGCAGTTGGCAGTTTAACTCTCGGGAGCTGCATGCAAATGCAACTTGGGTGCCTATTAATTAATGCAAGGGTGTTTAATTGGAAAAAAACTTCATAGGTGTGACAACTGACCATGGCATTTTAATTTCTGTGACGATTTCTTTGTAGAGAGTATTCTTGACTTGTCTAAGGGCTTGTTTAAGAGGATGAAGAAAACAAAAGTGGACCAACCTATGGAGAAAAACGCGAGGGGGTGCTAAAATTTCAGAGAAAAATAAATGAATTTGTAATCATACACAGAGACCTAAAATACAGCAATATATTACTTGATGATGACTTTCAGCCCAAAATTGTTGATTTTGGTTTGGCCAAGGTTTTTACCTGAGAATCAGAGCCATCTCAGTACTAAATTTGCAGGGACTTTGTAAGCCTAAGAGCCCTATTCTTTTCCACATTTTTCTTTTCTTTCCCACTGAACATCTTTTTAACAAGTACGTTTTTTGTTGCAACAGGGGATATACAGCTCCAAAATATGCAATCCGTGGCCATCTAACAGAGAAAGTTGACACCTACAGTTTTGGCGTTGTAGTCCTGGAGATTGTTAGTGGGAGAAGGAGCAGCGACATACAACTCGAGCCTGTAACTGAGTATCTCCTTGAACAAGTAATTTCTTTCTTGTTTCACAACATAGTCATCTCAAGAGGTTTATTTTAATTTGATGTGTCCTGCGTTATTTTATACAGGCCTGGAAACTGTACGAGAATAATGAACATCTAGAACTGGTGGATGAGAGTTTAGACCCCAACGAGTATAAACCATAAGAGGTGAAGAGAATTAATACTGGAGATTGCATTGAAGTGCACCCAATCACCATCGAATTTAAGGCCAAGTATGTCAGAAGTGGTGGTCATGCTTTCAAGTGACGGCTCAATCATGCAGAGACCCCAAACAGGCCAACCATCATTGATTTCGAGAAGAGGGTACCTGTAGACACATCAACAACTACTGCATCTTCCGCTTCCAACGCCACTGCTACGTTTTCTGAGTTCACAGGTCGCTAGGCTTGTTATGAAATCTCTATCTCTTTTAATGTTGCTTGTTTGTGAAGATACTGGGTTCAGGTTTGTAAATTGTAAATGTTATGCAAAAGCATACAACAATTAGTCAAGGAGCATTGCAGAAGCAATAAGTTCTGTTTTAACTTTGCAGTGTCTTAATCTGAACCAAAATGGTTTGATTCAAAGGTTCCTTCAGGGATTATGAACTGCCAATCCCTGGTTTCCTTTGATCTTTCAGGGAACAAGCTCAGTGATTCTCTCCATGATGGCTTTGGTGCTTCAGTTCTTGAATCTTGCAGAGAATGAGATTCATGGGAAGGATTCTGTTTTATCAGGGATGGTATCGCTCACTAATCTCAATGTTTCAGGCAATTTGTTCAAGGGTTCTGTTGTTGGCGTTTTTGGAGCTAGTATCATGAATCTAAAATCAGGTGCCTATAAATAAATTCAAAATGCATGTAATACTAGACACAAGGTTATTAGAGTAAAACTTAATATGTTATTTTGTACTAAGAATAGGATATATATGAAATTTATGGATGAAATTTGAGAAAATTTTACAAAATGACCAATATATTCTTCAATAATTTAGAAATTCAAAATAAGTTGTTAATATATATTAATAAATTTTATAAATAATAGATTGAAACTGTCACTTTCAATATAATTCATGGACTAAACTTACAATTTAAGTATAATCAATTTGTGCTCAAATGATATGTAGTGACATCTTCTATGTGGAGGTCATAATATCGAGTCTCAGTAAGGATGTTGTTAACTCTTTGTGCTTCATTAGATTGAGAAAGTATATTTGAACAGATATTACAATGTAATAGAGTGCCATAACGAAACAATTATGCCGTAACTGTGTGGCCCCTTGAGTCACCCCCATTGACATAATGGTCAGCGCAAAGGTCTTCGTCAACGAACACCTTGCCTCACGGTCAAGTTATCTATTCAAGGTCAGACCAAAACACCAACTCTTGCACTGCACGGCGGCGCTGGTGGACATTGTGGGTTCCGCTGCTATGGTATTGCCGTCTTCCGGAGTTCCGATCCCTTCGCTGTGAAAACCAAGCAGTACTGCAAGTTGCAGAGGCTTTTCGCCATCCAGTCAATTATCCTCTAGAATATGACATTCAATTCCATGAATTATATAGCTAGTCAAGGCTTTTAATTTGGTACCATAGCTTATAATAAAAATATACAATAAGAATTAATTTATTATGCGTCTTCCATAAATAGTAATTTTGTTACATTGAGTCCTAAAATTTTAATTTTTTATGCTATTGACCCTTTTATCATAGTCCATTTGACCACAAAGTCTTTTTTGACATATTAACTCTATTCAATAAATATAATAATGTAGATGAGTTAATGCCATATGCATCCTTCTAATACAGTGGTTTTGCCAGGTGTGCTACTATATATATATATATATATATATATCAACCCCATGCCACTTTTTATGAGCCAATAATTTTGTGTATCTCGATCTACTCCTTGAGCCTACATACAGTATATATATGGCAGGCTCAGGCAGCTTGTGGTGGCTTGCGGTGGTGATTTTGATGGTATCAGTATCAAAGCCTGCGTTCTCCAACCCACAAACCACCCTACTAGCCAGTGGATGCAGCTCGGAAAATGCTTCCAATCCATCAGATTTTTTAAGGAAACTCAACGCCAGCTTTGCGGATCTTGGCCACCAGTTATCCGGAAGCAACAAAAGCTTTGCCACCACTGCAAATCCTGTCTATGCAATGGCACAGTGTAGAAACTATCTCTCCAAACCTGACTGTGTCGCCTGTATCGATGCCGCAGTGTTAGAATCCCCAAGCTGCTTAATCGCCCTGGGTGCCACTTTCATATATGATGGCTGCTTCATCAGGTGATCGAGTTCGTTGTATATATAGTATGTAGTACGTAAACTGTAAACGCAATTTGGTTTAATTGTTTTGTATAGGTACGAGAGCTATTACTTCTACGATCAGATTACAGACAGCATAAACTGGCCACTTTGTGGTGAACGAACTGCCCGAAAACAAGACGTTTTCAATACGACGGCAAAGCAACTACTCAATGAGCTTCTACTTGCCACGCCCAGAATTAAAGGCTATTTTGCTACAGCAAAGCGGGTATCTGCTGGTGGTGGTGGTGCCACCGCCTATGCGGTGGCACAGTGTGTCGAAACAATCACCAACAGTGACTGTAAGGCATGTTTGACAATAGCTTACAATCACATGCTGCGCAATTGTTTGCCAGTATCTGCAGATGGAAGAGCTGCTGAAGTAGGTTGCTTCTTAAGATACTCAGACACACAATTTTTCCCTGATAACCAGACAACTAACCTACAACCCTTTCTTCATGGAGGTATCAAATCTCTTCTCTTCATGTTTCTTAACCACTCCTTTTTGCCATGTACACAACAGCCTTCAATTCACTATGTATATATATGCAGATTCTGTAACACCCTCTCCAGGGAGTTCAGGAAAGAAGAAAGCTATTATTGGGGGTGTAGTGGGAGGTGTAGGAATCATTTTGGTATTAGCAGCCATTTTCCTTTGGTATAGACAATCAAAAAACCCAAAGGCTTCAAGAAAAGGTGAAGCTCAATCGTTATTCTTCGTTGATACATAGAGTTTTCACTGTTTGGTTAACTTATGGACTGTCTTCTTCGTTCTATAGGCAATATTTTGGGGGCAACTCAGTTCAGAGGTTCGGAGAACTACAAATACAAAGATCTGAAAGCTGCAACAAAGGATTTCAGCGAAGAAAATAAACTAGGTGAAGGAGGTTTTGGTGATGTATACAAGGTCAATACTAAAAAAAAAGAGTAAATTTCACTATTTCCTATTCCTTTTTCTAGCTCATATTACAATTTGTCAGCCAAGAAACTCCAGAAACAATAACCAAAATCAGTCTTCTATGACTTAATAGGGCAAGCTACAGAATGGAAATGTGGTGGCAGTAAAGAAACTGACAATGATTTCCAGTAGAGCAATGGCAGACTTCGAGACTGAAGTTAGGCTTATTACAAATATTCATCATCCCAATCTCATTCGTCTATTGGGATATTCTGGAAACCAAGAAGAGCTGCTGCTGGTTTATGAATACATGGCAAATGCTAGCCTTGACAGATGCTTATATCGTGGGTGCTCCTAAAACATATGTTGTTATTCTTAGCAATCTTTAATTTTGATCTGGCTCTGATCTTGTGCTGGGGTTTATAAAGTTTTCCCATTTTTCATGATTGGCAGGACAGAATCGGGGGAGGCTGAATTGGAAGCAACGGGTTGATATAATATTTGGTACAGCTAGGGGTCTTTCCTATCTGCATGAGGTGTGCATCATCCACAGAGACATAAAATCCAGCAATATACTGCTTGATGATGACTTTCACCCCAAAATTGCTGAGTTTGGTTTGGCAAGGCTTTCACCTAAAAATAAGAGTCATCTTACCACTAAATTTGCAGGGACTTTGTAAGCCTAGCTAACACCCTCATTTCTTTGACACATTTTCTTTTCCACATCGATCTTTAATTTCACTGAATTATATTATTGCTTGTTGCACGCAATAGGGGATATACAACGCCCGAGTATGCAATTCATGGTCATTTATTAGAGAAAGTTGACATCTACAGCTTTGGCGTTGTGATCCTAGAGATCATTAGTGGGCGAAGGAGCAGTGAAATGCGAGTTGAGCCTGTAACTGAGTATCTCCTTGTATTGGTAATTAATGTCTTGTCTGAAGAGGCTGATTTGTTTATGTTGATATCTTCAACATTATTTGACTTTTGATTGCATCATTTTATAAATACAGCATGGAAACTGTACGAGAATGAGGAACATCTAGAACTAGTGGATACGAGTTTAGACTCAAACGAGTATAAAGCGGAAGAAGTGAAGAGAATGTTGGAGATTGCATTGGTGTGTACACAATCACCTTCCAATCTAAGGCCAAGCATGTCGGAAGTGATGGGCATGCTTTCAAGTATTGATGGCTCAATCATTCAGAGACCCCAAAATAGGCCTACTATTATTACTAATAATTTCGATAAGAGGGTACCTGCAGTCACTGCAACACCTTCTAATGCCACCATTTCACTTTCTGAATTCTCAGGCCGCTAGCTAGGAGAAACGAAACGAAAATTATATATGGATTCTCATGGAATAAATTTTTTGTCATTTGTGTGATTTTATTGATAGAAAGTAGTTGAAAAGGAAGTGGAAGAAGGTCTAATTCCTGACTGGAATATGTTGCTGCTAAACTTGCTGCAAATGTACTTATATCCTGGCCAAAGAAAGAAGCATTGAAGCTAGGTTACCTTTTAATTTCTGAGTTCTAACTTCTAAGTATGCGATTCTGGAAAGGATTGCCCTGACAAATTAGATGCCAACAGCACACTCTGGAACTGTTAAGAAGGACCTTGCGGAACTGTTATATTGGATTGGAAGAAGAATTTCAGTGGACATTGGTTAAGTAATATTCAATCATATCATGTCCTTTCGATGAGGATTGTATTGATTAACCGAAAACGAATAATAGTCTGTACAATACTAATATAGAAGACAAGTATAAAGAGTTCTACTAGACTACTAATACTAGAGTCCTAACACTCCCCCTCAAGCTCAAGGTGGAGCATTCGAAATATTGAGCTTGTCCCGAAGCAATGAAAACCGAGCAGATGCAAGTGGCTTGGTGAAAATATCAGCTAGCTGGTCCTTCGTGGAAATAAAATGAACCTGCAACTCCTTCTTGGCAACCTTGTCTCGAACAAAGTGATAATCGATTTCAACATGCTTAGTTCGTGCATGAAAAACCGGATTAGCACAGAGGTATGTTGCTCCCAGATTATCACACCACAGCCCCGGCGCAGCTTCCGGAGGGAAGCCAATTTCGCGCAGCAAAGAAACCAACCATGTGACCTCCGCCGCCACATCAGCCAGTGCCTTATATTCGGCCTCAGTAGAGGACCGCGCCACTGTCCGTTGCTTCCGACAAGACCAAGCAATTAAATTAGACCCCAAGAAGACGGCAAACCCACTCGTAGACTTTCGGTCATCCGGATTACCTGCCCAATCCGAATCCGAGAACGCATGCAATGCAAGAGACTCCGACTTGCGAATACATAGACCCATACCAAGAGTGCCTTTCACATACCGCAGAACACGTTTCATAACCGCCCAGTCCGCAGTGGTGGGCGACTGCATGCGTTGACAAAGCCTGTTAACTGCATAAGACAAATCCGGCCTAGTCACCGTCAGGTATTGAAGAGCACCCGCAATGCTACGGTAGTGAGTAGGATCAGCAAACGGAGTAGAATCATCAACATCAGACCGAGCCACCGAAACGGGTGTAGAAACCGGTTTACAGTCAACCATGCCTGCACGTCTAAGAATATCCTGTATATAACGCCGTTGAGACAGAAGAATACCATCAGATAGTGACATCGTCTCAATGCCAAGAAAGAAAGACGGGGGTCCCATGTCCCGAATCTTGAATGTACGCGCAAGCTGAGCCACAAGCCCATCAACACGGCTCGAGTCCGATCCCATGACCAAAATGTCATCCACATACACAAGAAAGTAAAGCTGCACACCACTGACAGAATATATAAACAACGAAACGTCAGTCTTGGACGGAACAAAGCCAACAGAGATCAGGAAGTCATGCAATCGGGTAAACCAGGCACGAGGAGCCTGCTTCAGTCCATATAATGAACGCTGTAGATGGCAAACATAATCAGGAACAGACTTGTCCTCATAACCAGGCGGCTGACGCATATACACTGTCTCCGCCAGGTTACCGTTCAGAAAGGCGTTGTGGACATCCAGCTGACGAATGGACCAACCACGGGAGTGAGCAAGTGACAGAAGAAGGCGAACCGTGGTTGGCTTGACCACCGGACTGAAAGTCTCAAAGAAATCCTTACCAGCGACCTGATTAAAACCTTTGGCCACCAGACGAGCCTTATGTCGCTCAATAGACCCATCAGCATTCCGTTTCACCCGAAACACCCACTTGCAACCCACAACATTCATACCTGGAGTGTACGGGACCAGAGTCCAAGTCTGGTTGTGTAGGAGAGCATTAAACTCAGCATCCATGGCCTCACGCCATTCCGGATGCGCAACAGCCTGAGAATAACATGTCGGCTCGGGTGTTGTAGCGGCAGAAACGAGAGCCACATGCTCCTGCAGGCCCCGACTCCTCGTTGCCATAACATGAGAGGGCGGACCTGCCACCTTGTTCTTACTACCACGAGGTCGACCCCGAGAAGCTTTAGGGACAGCCGAAACGGTCCGTTCAGTGGAGACAGAGTCAGCCGGACCCGCGGGCATATCCGGAACCGGTGTATCATCGACAGGCTCCATAACTGAAGAGGAGATAGGCACGATGGGGGCAACACCCCACGGCACCACTGGAGGCCGAGACACCACCTGCGAAGCAACAGATCTAGCAAAAGGAAAAACGGACTCATCGAATCGCACATGGCGACAGATAAAGACCTTATTAGTGACAGGATTCATACAACGATAGCCACGAAAAGAGTCAGGATACCCTAAAAACACACAAGGAGAAGAACGATATTCCAATTTATTACGGTTATAGGGACGCAATAAAGGAAAACACAAACACCCAAAGACACGCAAAAAGGAATAGGACGGAGGAGACCGGTGCAAACGAGAGTGAGGAGACTCATTATTTAAGACACTGGTAGGCATTTTATTAATCAAGTATACAGCAGTCTCAAACGCATAGTCCCAGAAACGAGATGGGACAGACGCTTGAGCCATCAGGGCCAAGCCAGTCTCAACTATATGCCGATTACGGCGTTCTACCCGCCCATTCTGTTCATGTGTGTATGCACAGGACTGCCTGTGACGAATGCCAAGAGACTCAAAGGTAGAGTGAAGTTTCTTATACTCTCCCCCTAAATCAGACTGAATAGAAAGTATTTTCTGTGAGAACGAGCGCTCAACGAGTGACCGAAACCGTTCAAATATGGAATATATATCAGTTTTTAAGCGCATCGGATAAAACCAAATAAAACGGGTAAAGTCATCCACAAACAAAACAAAGTAACGAAAACCATTCACAGAGTGCACAGGCGCAGGGCCCCAAATATCAGTATAAACCAATTCTAGTACACGGGTAGTTTTAGTTTCAACACGGGGCAAAGGAAAACGGGATGACTTCCCTAACTGACACGAAGAACACAAACGAGATAGATCACTAGAATTAAAACTACTAACACCAGAAGACTGCAAAATCTGACGAAGAACCCGAGTATGAGGGTGACCAAGCCGCTTGTGCCACGTAGAAGACGAAGCACGCGCAGCAACATAAGCAACAGAACGAGCAGAAGACGCGGGCCAGGAGTATAAGCCACCAGAAGTTCCCCCCTTAAAAACCACCTCCCTGGTCAAGAGATCCTTCACAAGAAAACAGTCAGGATGAAACTCAAAAAAGACACGATTATCTTTAGCAAAGCGTTGAATAGAAATTAAAGAAGAAGACAAACCAGGGACATGCAAAACATCATCTAATCGAAACACTCTAGAAGACGAGGCTATCGAAGTAGACCCAACACTAAAGATAGGCATACCTTCACCATTGCCGACACGAAGAGTGTCCGAACCGTCATAGCCTGCCGAGGACATCAACTGAGAGGAATCGGGAGTGGCATGATTAGTGGCCCCCGTATCAGGAAACCATTGGTGAGAGTCAACCGAACCACCCTCACCACCAGAAAAAGCCACATTAGCCTGAGGACCAGACGACTCAGAATAACGACGCCAACAATTCGCCGCCGAGTGCCCAATCTTGTCACAAATCTGACAACGCACATCCGAGCGACCACGGCCACGGCCCCGGCCACCGCGACCACGGCCGCCACTGCCCGAACCGCCGGTGCCCGAACCACTGCCGCCGGAACCCCCACTGCCCGAGCCACCTCGGGAGAACCGGCCTCCGCCACGACCGCCCCGGCCACCACGGTGAACGGTCAAGGCAGCCGGCGCACCAACCGGACCATCACCTGCGCAGATATATTCTTGAGAAATTAAATAATCGGAAAGATCCGAGAGAGTTACCGGGTCACCACGAGTCAACGGAGCAACGAGCGGGCGAAGATCCGACCGCAGACCACGGAAGACATAAATATTCTGCTCATCAAGAGGAACTGGACGCCCAGCAAGGGCCAAGTCTTCCACCAAAATCCGCGCCCGGTTCAAATAATCCGAAACGGACGAAGCCCCCTGCGACAAACGCTGCAGCTCACTGAGCAAACGAACCGCGCGAGACCGCGTTGCCGAGCCGAGCTCTTGCTCAATCGCCAACCACAATTTACGCGACGTCGGTCGGCCCACAGCCAACGGTAGCATCTCGTCAGACAAGGACGAGATCAAGAGAGACAGGACAGCCTTGTCCTGTCGACGCCACTGCACCACCGGCGACGCTACTGCCGAGGCAGTGCTGCCGCTGTCTGCCGTTGACGAAGCCGACGAGGCTGCCGGCGGACACTCCACCGTGCCGTCAACAAAGCCCAACACCCCCTGACCTTCGAGAAACGGGAGCATCTGGGTACGCCAGAACAGATAATTGTGTGCGGTGAGCTTGATCGACACAAAGTGATGAGCACTGGACAAGCTCGGAGACGGATAAATGGGGGTGGAGGCAACCTCGGAGACGGTCCGTTCTGAAGAATCACGAACAGATCCATCATTATTCCCACCCAAAGCTGCCATGGAAAGAAACCTAGATATGATACTAGATGAGGATTGTATTGATTAACCGAAAATGAATAATAGTCTGTACAATACTAATATAGAAGACAAGTATAAAGAGTTCTACTAGACTACTAATACTAGAGTCCTAACACTTTCAAGGTAGTAAAGAAGCCAAAGTCTCCTTACTATTCTCAAGCCTAATCTACGTTGCTATGTAGAAACAAGGCTTTAGAAAATGTAGCTTTGAATAGGGCAAATTATGTTGTGCATCCGTATGCACCATGCATGGTGCATACGGATGCAAAAACGACGTCGTTTTAATAAAATGCGCGTCTCCCCTTAAAAAAAAAAAATCAGGTTCGATTCTCAGCAACAACATATGAACTAAAATTCCATAATCGATGAACTATAATTCCATAATCGATGAACTATAGTTCCATAATCTAATCTATGAACTAAAAATTCCAGAATGAATGAACTAAAATTCCATAATCTATAAACTAAAATTTCAGAATCGATGAACTACAATTCCATAATCGATGAACTATAATTTCATAATCAATGAACTATAATTCCATAATCTATGAACTAAAATTCCAGAATGAATGAACAATATAATGTTGTTGCTGGGAATCGAACCTGAATTTTTTTTAAAGGGGAGACGCGCGGTTTTTAATAAAACGACGTCGTTTTGGCATCCGTATGCACCATGCATGGTGCATACGGATGCACAGCATAACGATTGTTTGAATAGTTGGAAGAGGTTACCACGGGCTGGCAAATTATGCTGTGCATCCGTGTTCACCATGCATGGTGCATACGGATGCAAAAACGACGTCGTTTTAATAAAACGCGCGTCTCCCTTTAAAAAAAAAAAATCAGGTTCGATTCCCAGCAACAACATATGAACTAAAATTCCATAATCGATGAACTATAATTCCATAATCTAATCTATGAACTATAAATTCCAGAATGAATGAACTAAAATTCCATAATCTATAAACGAAAATTTCAGAATCGATGAACTACAATTCCATAATCGATGAACTATAATTCCATAATCAATGAACTATAATTCCATAATCTATGAACTAAAATTCCAGAATGAATGAACAATATAATGTTGTTGCTGGGAATCGAACCTGAATTTTTTTTTAAAAGAGGAAACGCACATTTTTTAATAAAACGACGTCGTTTTGGCATCCGTATGCACCATGCATGGTGCATACGGATGCACAGCATAACTATCCCCACGAGCTAGTTCAGGATCGAACCACTCCTGAATTGACCCCAAAATAATGGATTTGGGCTTTAATGGACTGAGTCTAAGCCTAAACATAGACCGGAACCATCCTATATAGGCAAATTATGTTGTGCATCCGTATGCACCAAGCATGGTGCATACGGATGCAAAAACGACGTCGTTTTTATAAAACGCGCGTCTCCCTTTAAAAAAAAAAAATTAGGTTCGAAACTATAATTCCATAATCGATGAACTATAATTCCATAATCGATAAACTATAATTCCATAATCGATGAACTATAATTCCATAATCAATGAACTATAATTCCATAATCTAATCTATGAACTAAAATTTTCAGAATGAATGAACTAAAATTCCAGAATCTATGAACTAAAATTTCAGAATCGATGAACTATAATTCCAGAATCGATGAACTATAGTTCCATAATCGATGAACTATAATTCTATAATCCATGAACTAAAATTTCATAATGAATGAACAAAATAATGTTGTTACTAGGAATCGAACCTGAATTTTTTTTTTAAAGGGGAGACACGCGTTTTTAATAAAACGACGTCGTTTTTGCATCTGTATGCACCATGGATGGTGCATACAGATGCACAACATAACTATTCTCCTATATAGGCTGGTCTTGGTCCTAGGAAATAAAAGCTGAGGCCCAACTCAGAATCTGTCCAGGAACAAGCCAAGAATTGAGCTTGGACCCAGGACTCCAGGGCAATTTATATCCTACACCACGGCGAGCGTTGCACTATGCGCCCAGATGCAAAACGACGTCGTTTTAATTATTATTATTTTTTTTTTGAAATTTCCCGCCTCAGTGAATGGCAGTAGTTTTTTCTTAAAAAAAAAAAAACCGTTGTTCAAGAATGTACATAATGTTATACTAGAATACACATAATGTTATACATGAATGTACATAATTATATAACAAAATATACATACTCTTTTTAAAAGATAATACACATAATCTAACATAATACATAATAAACATAAACTTTTAACATAATACACATCAACTCTTAACATAATACACACAAATTTTCTGATTCGGATGTACATAATTGTATAAAAAAAATGTACATAATTGTATAAAAAAATACACATAACTGTATGAACCAATACACATAACGTTGTGAACAAATACACATAATCTCAGCAACTTCCTACCGCGCCTCCCAACACTACCCCAAAACGACGTCGTCTTGGGAGGCGCGCGGCGCACAGTGCTATGTGCGCCGTGGTGTAGGATATAACGATTGGGACTCCAGGAGGCAAGAGAAGGCTCGGGACAATCGTTATGCCATGGAACCGTATTCACCATTTATGGTGAACACGGTCCCAACAGTAACAATGCACCGTTATTTTTTTTTTTTTATTTTTCTTTATCCTTAATTAATCGTGCAATTTTTCTTCTTCATTTTCATATTTTGCGGTTTTACTTCCTCTTCGTGCAAGCTTTTTCATATTCAACATAATCTCATAAAAAGAAAATTCATAATTTCATAACTGCACATTCATAAATCCATGCCTGCACATTCATAATTGCATGGATTTATGAATGTGCATTTATGAAATTATGAATTTTTTTTTATGAGATTATGAATTTTTTGTTTTGAGATTATGAATTTTCTGTTATCAGATTATGAATTTTCTGTTATCAAATTATGAATTTTCTGTTATCAAATTATGAATTTACAGTAAATTCATAATCTCATAACAGAAAATTCATAATTTAATAAATGTTTTTCTTTTATGCGATTATGAATTTTCTGTTATGAGATTATGAATTTACAGTACATTCATAATCTCATAACAGAAAATTCATAATCTGACCAAACGCGCGCCGTTAACACCACATTGGCTATAAAAAAAAATTTTCCCTTAAAAACGGCACCGTTTGGACCCGTGTTTACCATTCATGGTGAACACGTTTCCAGGGCATAATTTGTAGGCTCGGGACGGGGCGGCTGCTTGGCAAGTTTGCAGTGACATGTTGTCAACTTGTCACTTTGGCATGGCATATTAACTGAAGGTACATAATATATTAACTACATATTATGTGAATTTAGTTAGCATATTAGTTGTTAGTTGATAGCTGATTAAATGCAAAAATGACTTTTAAGGAATTAAGGGTATAATTTATTTTTTCTGAAAAAAAGATAATCGAAAAAACTGTTTTGATTAACTTTTTGAATTTTAGCCTTTTGGAGCAATAAGTTAGTTAGAAAATCTGATTAACCAAACACTTATATTGACTGTTTAACTAAGTCAAACAGTTAATGGTGGTCAAATAAGTCAAAATTATTAACTTATAAACTAACTATGTTACCAAAGCCATAATCTATTAACTCAAAGCATTTACTATGTTAATTATATTGCAGACACATAATATGTCAAGAAATAATATAGTTAAAAAATCTTTATCCAACATCTGAAATTGTTTTTCAAAATGAAACTCTTTTATCCAAATAGCAGTTGGCAGTTTAACTCCCGGGAGCTGCATGCAAATGCAACTTGGGTGCCTATTAATGCAAGGGTGTTTAATTGGAAAAAGACTTCATAGGTGTGACAACTGACCACGGCATTTTAATTTCTGTGACGATTTCTTTGTAGAAAGTATTCTTGACTTGTCTAAGGGGCTTGTTTAAGAGGATGAAGAAAACAATAGTGGACCAACCTATGGAGAAAAACGCGAGGGGGTGCTAAAATTCCAGAGAAAAATAAATGAATTTGTGATCATACACAGAGACATAAAATATAGCAATATATTACTTGATGATGACTTTCAACCCAAAATTACTGATTTTGGTTTGGCAAGGCTTTTACCTGAGAATCAGAGCCATCTTAGTACTAAATTTGCAGGGACTTTGTAAGTCTAAGAGCCTTATTCTTTTCCACATTTTCCTTTCTTTCCTACTGAACATCTTTTTAACCAGAATTTTTGTTGTTGTAATAGGGGATATACAGCTCCAGAATATGCAATCCGTGGACATCTATTAGAGAAAGTTGACACCTACAGTTTTGGCGTTGTAGTCCTAGAGATTGTTAGTGGGAGAAGGAGCAGTGACATACAACTCAAGCCTGTAACTAAGTATCTCCTTGAACAAGTAGTTTCTTTCTTGTTTCTGAAGAGGTTTATTTTGATCAGTCTTACATTAACAATCATTTGGCTTCAATTCTGCGTTGTTTTATACAGGCCTGGAAACTGTACGAGAATGGTGAACATCTAGAACTGGTGGATGAGAGTTTAGACCCCAACGAGTATAAACCATATTAAAGACTAATTATAATTAGTATTATTTATCTGATGTTGTCCTACTCTTTCTCTATTTTGTTAGTCTTAGACTGAGCATGCAATCTGTTGTAACTTCCCTTAGAATCCTGGTGTATAGCTCTATATATTATGCTGTATTATTCTCTTTCAATAATGCATTCTCATTCAAACCTTCATATGGTATCAAGAGCCTAATATACTCAAACGAGTAAATTTTTTTTTATTTTTTTTTTCATTCCTTCCCTGCGTGATCTCATGGCAATCACTAATGAAACTTCTATCATTACACTATCAGCACCAACAAATTTCCCCATTAAACTTACTTCAACCAACTTCCCGGTCTGGCGTAAGCAAGTTTATGCTACGCTCATAGGACTTGGTCTGGCCGGTTACGTTGACGGAACAACCGCAGCTCCTGCGGCATTTTCGGATACTGCACGTACAACTCCGAATCTTGCCTATCAAATTTGGTATCGCCAAGACCAAATTCTTCTTAGCGCACTCTTGGGGAGTTGCTCGGACACCATTCAGCCAGTTCTTGCCTCAGCCACTACTGCTGCAAACGCTTGGGATAAATTAACAGCAAGCTTTGCCAATGCTTCTCGTGGTCGTGTTATATCTTTGAAATCCAAACTTGCAAACAATCCTTGTGGGTCAAAGTCTATCTCTGACTATTTGCAAGAGATGCAGACACTTGCTGACAATCTAGCCTTGGTTCAAGCTCCGGTCGCAGATGAGGATCTGGTTGCACATACCTTGTCTCAAATGGGAGATGACTTTCATTCGGTCACATCAGCAATCCATGCAAGAGAAACACCTATCTCTTTTTTGGCGCTCCGTGAGATTTTACTAGACTGTGAGCGTCGTATGAAGAGTAATGAAGAGGTGCAGCAAACTCTATTGGCCACGGCGAATGTCGTGCAGCGGAATAGGCCGAAGAATTTCCAGAATGGGAGGTCCTTTCAAGGCCCAAAGACAGATAATATGACTAACTCAAATTGGCGGCCTGCTAGCAGTCAGAGTCGCTTTCCTGCTAGTGGAGATTGGAATGGTAAGGTTTGTCATTTTTGTCACAATTCTGGGCATGAAACTCGTGTTTGTAGGAAACTTGCACGCTTTCTACGAGAGAACAATGTTAGACTGGATAACATTCAAGCATTCAATTCTGCTCAGACCCCTGTTGTTAATTCCACTACCACTACACCACCAATTGATTCTACTCAGTGGCTATTTGATAGTGGCGCATCCCATCATGCTACATCAAATCTAGCTTCCCTACAGAATTTTTCGGATTACGGTGGTCCGGATGAAATTTTCTTGGGTGATGGTAAAAGTCTTAACATTTCTCACACTGGTCATACTACTTTTCCTACCAATGGTCGTGATCTTTCATTGTCTGGAGTAATATGTGTTCCTAAATTAAGAAAAAATCTTGTTTCTGTTTCTCAGCTTTGTAAAACTAACAAAGTTTCGGTTGAATTTTTTCCTTTTTTTTTCCTTGTGAAGGATCTCGTGACGGGGGCGCCGTTACTCAAGGGGGAAAACAATCATAATGTTTATTGTGCTTCTGTGTCTACATATCCACAATTAAACGTTACAGTTTCCACATCTCTTCCAGATTGGCATCATCGCTTCGGGCATCCGTCAAATAAAACTCTAAGGCATATTCTCAATCGTCTTAGTATTCCGTTTGATTCCAATGCTCTCAATAATTTTTCCTGTATTTCATGTAACATTAATAAAAGTCACAAACTTCCATTTTTTGATAATTCTATGTTCAGTACAAAACCTCTTCAGCTTATATATACAGATGTATGGGGAACCACTCAAAAATCTATTGATGGATACCTATATTATGTTATTTTTGTAGATTTCTACACCAAATACATATGGTGGTATCTTCTAAGAAAAAAAATCAGATGTCTCCGTTATTTTTCCTCAATATAAAAGATTAGTGGAAAAGTTTTTTGGTCATAAAATTGTTTCCATATTTTCTGATAGTGGTGGAGAGTTCATAAAACTTATTCCACTATTTAATCTGCATGGTATTTCTCACTTTACAACTCCCTCTCACACTCCTGAACACAATGGTACAGCTGAAAGGCGTCATCGCCATATTGTCGAAACAGGTCTCTCATTGTTTCACCGTTCAAATTTACCTCTAACATTCTGGTCATATGCTTTCCAATGTGCAGTCTATCTGATCAACCGGTTGCCTACTCCTGTCCTAGCCAATCAGTCTCCATTCCAGGTATTGTTTCAGTCTTCTCCTAACTACCATAAAATAAAACCTTTCGATTGTCTGTGTTATCCCTGGCTCATGCCATATATGAAAACAAAGTTGCAACCTCGGTCTGTGTCTTGTATTTTTGTTGGATACTCTACAACTCAGTCGGCTTTTAAGTGTCTTGATCCAGTGACACACCGTGTATATCTTTCCCGACATGTTAAATTTGTTTATAATGTTTTTCCATATTACTACCCTGTTGCTACTAGTTCTTCAGGTCATATAGTGTCAGGGAATGAGCAGGCTCCTGTCATTTTGAGTCCACTAATGGTGTTACATCCTGTTGTTCCAACACCCACTGTGACAAGCTCTTCAGCATCTTCACCGGTCTTGTCTGCTCATTCTCCACATGCAACTCCACCTCAGGGTCTTCTGCCTTCACCACCACTAACAGCTCCGTTATCACCACGCGGTTCTCCCTGTGCTCCCTATACAGAAACCTCAGGCTCACAGTCCTGTACTGTTTCCTCCAGTTCAAGTCCTATTAATCCTCCCCAGGAATGTTCTGGTCCAGTATCTGTTGTGCCATCACATGAATTGCAGGATTGTTCTCGTCCAGTCTGGACTCGTCGGCCAAATCCAAAATATTATAACGACAAGTTTGTAAATCACTCCACTGTTCATCCTCTACCTTCTTCTGTTGAGCCGTCGACGGTCCCGCAAGCTCTTAAGGACCCATTATGGCGGCAAGCTATGGATGATGAATACACGGCTCTAATTCAGAATAATACTTAGGAGCTCACACCGCGTGATAACCATGTTCCCATTGGTTGCAAATGGGTGTTCCGGGTTAAGCGGAAGCCAAACGGTGCGGTTGATAGGTATAAAGCTCGTTTGGTGGCAAAGGGGTTCTTGCAGGAGCCCGAACGTGATTATTTTGAAACTTTTAGCCCAGTCATGAAACCTGTGACGATCCGACTTGTTCTTTCTATTGCTTTGAGCCGCCACTGGGTGCTGCGGCAGCTTGATATCAATAATGCATTTCTTCATGGCACTTTGCATGAAGAAGTGTACATGGAGCAGCCCATGGGCTATCTTGATCCTAATCATCCTCGGTACATTTGCAAATTGAAAAAGGTTATTTACGGCCACAAACAGGCCCCCCGGGCTTGGTATTTGGAGCTCTCTAATTATCTGTTGAGTATTGGTTTTCGCAAGTCATTGGCAGATGCTTCTCTCTTTATATATGATACAAATGGTGTTGTTGTTTACTTTCTCGTCTATGTTGACGATATAATACTCACAGGAAATAATAATGTATTTTTGGATTCATTTGTTACGTCTTTAGCCTCTCGGTTCTCTCTGAAGGACTTGGGCGCACTTCATCATTTTCTGGGTGTTGAATTAGTAAGTGTGGAGTCTAGATTGTTTCTCTCTCAAAGCCAATATCTTTCAGATATTCTTTCACGGTTTAATATGGATGGTGCTAAGCCGGTTTCAACACCTATGAGTAAGGATGTGTTACCCACAGCTGGCTCTGTTGAGGTTTTGGATGTCACTCAGTTTAGGAAGCTCGTTGGCTTGTTGCAGTACTTGTCCATCACGCGTCCGGACATTGCGTATGCAGTTAACCGTCTATCTCAATTTATGCATGCCCCTGGTGCGGTTCACTGGCAGGCTGCGAAGCATTTGCTGCGATATTTGAAGGGTACCTGTCATTATGGATTGGTGTTACGTCGCTCTACAGGTCTTCAGTTAACCGCTTTTGTTGATTCTGATTGGGTGGTGTGTCCGATGGGGGTCGTTCTACTACAGCGTATGTTATATATTGCGGTCCAAATATCATCTCGTGGAAGTCTACTCGTCAGAAAACAGTCTCCCGTTCTTCTACGGAGGCTGAATACAGGGCGCTGGCTAATGGTGCGGCAGAGTTGTATTGGGTTTGTAATTTACTGACTGAGTTAGGCATTCCACAGCCTCGGCCTCTTACTCTGTTCTGTGATAATATAGGAGCCACTTATGTTTGTCGGAACCCGGTGTTTCATTCTAAGATGAAACATCTTGCTTTGGATTATTTTTTTTGTGCGTGAAGAGGTGGCTTATGGTTCTTTGTATGTTTGTCATATTCCTTCAAAGTCACAAATTGCATATGCTCTTACCAAACCATTGGGTCGTGCCATGTTTCTTCCTTTCCGGTCCAAGCTGGGTGTCTCCAATGGATCCACCATCTTGCGGGGGCGTATTAAAGACTAATTATAATTAGTATTGTTTATCTGATGCTTAGACTGAGCATGCAATCTGTTTTAACTTCCCTTAGAATCCTGGTGTATAGCTCTATATATTATGTTGTATTATTCTCTTTCAATAATGTATTCCCATTCAAACCTTCATAAACCAGAAGAGGTGAAGAGAATACTGGAGATTGCATTGAAGTGCACCCAATCACCATCGAATCTAAGGCCGAGCATGTCAGAAGTGGTGGTCATGCTTTCGAGTGACGGCTCAATCATGCAGAGGCCCCCAAACAGGCCAACCATCATTGATTTTGAGAAGAGGGTACCTGTAGACACATCAACAACTACAGCATCTTCCACTTCCAATGCCACTGCTACGTTTTCTGAGTTCACAGGTCGCTAGGCTAGGCTTGTTATGAAATCTCTATCTCTTTTAATGTTGCTTGTTTGTGAAGATACTGGGTTCAGGTTTGTAAATTGTAAATGTTATGCAAAAGCATACAACTATTACTCCTATTACTCAAGGAGTAATACGAAATGATATATAAAATCAGTAAAAAGATTATAGATAATTCCAACGGATATTTCTCATCTTTTGTAGCAATTTCACGGTTTAGTCACCACTATCGTTTTTGTCTTATAACACTCCAGAGTAATAAATTATGGATGACACTTTAGGTCCTTTCTGTACCTTGGGCCCCAATTTGAGCAGAAACCAGTTTCAACACCAATGGTTTGCCAGCAACCCAACAGTGATGGGTTCTTTGTTCTCCAGTTTTAATTTCTGCAAAATATGGGTTTGAACTCTTCCAAAGTCCACAACTTTTCTGCTCACTTTTGTTCTTGGCAAGTTGTGTTCTGTGATTCCAAAGAGCAAAGGGTTGAATTTGAAAAAGGAAAATGACATTTAAGTTCATTAGTTATACCTAAATTGTAGACTTAGTAGTCAATGAAGTATTACCCTATACAAATTTTTCTCTTTAATTATGTTAAAAGTGACATTTTCAATCCATTACTTAAAATGCTACATGCACTCTCATTTTGTACTCTCAACTTGTATTCCCACACACAAAATCTTAATGTTGACATTTACTACAGAACTTTTGCTAAATATTTGTTTGTCTTGATTGAGGAAGAATTTGAGAAGCAAAAATGACAAGTAAAAAATTACTTAGATTAAAAATACACGGAATTGTAAATTTTATATATATATTAGTTTATTACAATTTTTTCTTTTGTTGAATGTAAAGCACTCCCTCTCTCTCTCTCCCTCACTCTAATAGTAAATTACTCGTTTTGTTATCACATTGAGTTCATAATTGAAAGCAACAACATCATTATAAATTTAAGAAGCAAAATAATTGAAATCATATAACTTATCATTTTGTTGTACGTTTTGATGCATATTAAACTATATTTGCAAATTACATTGTATTTTGTGCAATCCATGTATGGATGCTTTTGGTTGTTTTGGTATTGGTTAAACAAATGCATCATATACTATTATTTTGTACAACTTAAGATATTATTTTGTAACAAGAGTATGATAATAAAAATTTATGGAGAGAATTTGAGAAAATTTTACAAAATAATCAATATATCTTTTAATAATTAAGAAATTCAAAATAATTAAGTTGTTAATATACATTAATTAACAAAATTTTTGAATAATAGATCGAAACGGTCACTTTCAACATAATTAAAGGTAAAAATTTGTATATGATAATAATTCATAGTCTAAATCTACAATTTAAGTATAATTAATTAATGGACTAAAACTGTTATTTTTCCCAGTTAAAACTAAATATTGATTAATTAAATCTAACATTTTGTGCTCAGATGGCATGTAGTGACTTCTATGTCATGAGATCGAGCCTCAGTGGAGGCGTTGTTAACTCTTTGTGCTTCATTAGGTTGAGAAAATATGTTTAATTTGAACAGATATTACAATATAATAGAGTCAGTACCATTCAAAAAAAAATTAAATCTAACACTTGTAATGTTGATTTAACCCAAGTGAATTTAATCTGCAACTTGGATTCAAAGTAAACCAAATAATATCAACACCCCCGCTCACACGGGACCGTTGCCCTAACGAAACAATTATACCGTAATTGGTGTCCAAGTGCAATCGTTATGCGTTGGACCCGTGTCCAGCATGCTTGCTGGACACGGGTAACAGTGCTGTTAGGCACTGTTATCTCCTTTTTTTTTTTTTTTTTTTTTTTTTTATTAATTTCAGACGCTTCGTTATAGGAGTATATATTCATAATTTTATTACTATATTATTAATAACTGTACATTCATAACTCAATAACTGTACGTTCATAACTCTATAACTGTACCTTCATAACTCCATAACTGTACATTCATAATTTTCGAAGCTCTATGTTTACAATTTTAGAGCTCTATGTTCATAATTTTATCACTATATGTTCATAATTGTAAGTTCATAATGTTAGAGCTCTTTGTTCATAATTCGATCAATAACTGTACATTCATAATTCCGTAACTGTAGATTCATAATCTCATAACTGTAGATTCATAACTCCATAACTGTAGATTCATAACTCCATAACTGTACATTCATAATCTTCGAAGCTCTATATTCACAATTTTAAAGCTCCATGGTCATAATTTTATCACTATATATGTTCATAATTGTAAGTTCATAATGTTAGAGCTTTGTGCTCATAATTTCATAATTGCATAACTGTACATTCATAACAGCATAACTGTACATTCATAATCCAAAAAAAAAATAACGCCGTTAACGGCAAAACGCGCGCGAATTTTTTTTTTAAAAACTAAATGACGCGTTTTTTTTGAAAAACGACGTCGTTTTGGGCCGTGTCCACAATTCACTGTGGACACGGGTCCAGGGCATAATTTGCCGTCCAAGTGTGGCCCCTTCAGTCACGAAACGTTATGTTGTGAGCACGTACCCATCTTGTAAGGTGGGCACAATTCTATATTCATAATTTTTATACTATAAATTCTTAATTTCTATACTGTAAATCTATAATTTCTACATTGTAGATTCATAAAATTTATACTTTAGATTAATAATTTCTAAATCATAGATTCATAATTTAAATACAGTAGATTCATAATTTCTATACTACAGATTCATAATATTTGTACTGTAGATTCATAATTTATATACTGTAAATTCATAATTTCTAAATTGTATAGTTATCAAATTATGAACATATAATTCTCTAATTTGTGAAAACAGAGTTCAACAATTGGAATCTAAAATATAAATTTTATGAATCTACAGTATAGAAATAATGAATCTATACTATAAAAATTATGAATCTACAATATAAAAATTATAGATATAGAATCGTGCCTACCTTGCAAGGTGAGCGCGTGCTCACACGACTCACCCCTATTGACATACTGGTCAACGTTAAGGTCTTCATCAACGAACACCTTGCCTCACGGTCAAGTTATCTATTCAAGGGCTTTTGTCCAAAATAGAAGAAATAAATATTTTCATGACAAAAAAAATATAAAAAAAAATTAGATATTTTCTTAAAGGATTACACTTGTGTGAAACTGTCTCACAGATCATTATTCGTGTGAGACGAGTTGAGTCGAGTCGAATTAATATGCAAATGTCATACTTATATGCACAAATGTTATATTTATATGCTTAAATGTAATAATAATCAGGAATAAATTTTTTGTTACTTATAAGGGAAAATGTAATATTTTTGTATTTTGATGTAAAAGTATTATATTTTTCATAAAAAGTATTACATTTTTAATAAGTAATGTTGACAAGTGCCCCTTACTTATAAGGGAAAATATAATACTTAAAAAAAATGTAATACAAGTTACATTAATTAACTCATTGGATTCAAAATAAAATGATGATTTAATCCATGTACAAAGTAAATGAGACATTATCCTTTTCAAAAAAAAAAAAAAAGTAAATGAGAAATCAACATTCATTTCCAACGAAGTTTAATTCATGTACAAAGTAAATAGGCACACACCAGCGCTTGTTCTCCAAGCATGCCTGTAAATAATTATTGTGCATTATTAAAGAAGTTCACAAGTTCAAATGGAAATGTGTGTTTTTATTATACACAACTCTCTCTCAATATATATGTATGTGTGTGTACGTAAAAGTCTCATAATAACACCAAATATGGAAGTCAAAATATTGAAATATATACCAAATAAAACCAAACAATTACAATGGAGGACTTCGAACCAGTGAAAACCAAGACCCAAATTGTCAAGGCTTTTAATTTTGCCAACCGGCCAGTCAATTATCATCTAGAATTGAAGATGACATTTGATGAATTAGGTTCTTGTATTTGTGTATTTATGAGAATAAGCCCAGAATCGACGTTAAATTTGGCGTGATAGTAACTATGGCAGTTTTTTTTTTTTTTTTTTTTTTTTTTTTTTTTTTTTTTTTCATGTAATACCATCTAGATTACCTTAGGGAATGTTAGATTGCTGAGAATTTGGTTCACGGAATGTTAGATTACCTTAGGGAATGTTAGATTGCTGGAAATGTTAGATTACTAGGAATGTTAGATTTCTGTGTTTGGTTTAAAACTAAGATATGTAAATAAGACAACGGTAATAAAATAAATTGATTAAAACATCCAAAGCCCAACATTAGTAATAAAACAAGAGAATGTGAGATTACCTAAGAAATTGGAAGGTATCTCACATTCCCTTCCAATAACTAAAAACTTAATCCGGAAGTTATCAGATTTCCTGGAAAAGTTACATAACCTGAACCAAACATAAGAATCTTATATTACAAAACAAATATAATCTTGATTATCTTATATATAATCTGAACCAAACGCCTCTTTAAAGTTTTGAAAGACTGATGCCTGGTTTGAAGCGTTACGAATTAGAGAATGATAGCTTTTAATTTGACAGGGATTTTTTTGACATTTTTTTTCTTTTTATAATAATTTAAATGTTAATATTTTTACGGAGTATTATATCATTAAAATTGCTTGGAATTTGAAGGAAGTAGAGAAAATGATGTTAAAATTGCTATGATATAGCAGTACGTAAGATTTACTTTTGAATTTGAAAGAAATTTGTAGGAATGAAAATAGGCGGTATATATATATATATATATATATATATATATATATATATATATATATATATATATATATATAGTTTTTTTTTTTTGTTTGAAAACCAACACATCAAATAGATATATTGATGAATAAAATGTTGAATACCAGACTGAAAGCTGGACCACTACCAGGATCAACCGTCTTGACCACTTCATCATGAGCCAAACGATTATACGATCTACTAATGAAGCGGACAGAACATGACTCAATAGAATCTAATTGCTTACGGCAATCACTCAAAGACAAAACCAAAAAACGAACAAGGAACGGAACTACTGGCAATTTATATGGGGGCAGGCTCAGGCGGCAGGTGGTGGTGGTTGGCGGTGGTGATCATGGTGGTATCAGTATCAGAACCTGCGCTCTCAGACCCACAAACTAACCAAGTAGGCATGCTGGATTGCACTGCCTTCAATTACACCGACGTACCAGATTCTATGAGGGCACTGAACGCCACCTTTGCTGATCTGAGAAACCAGTTATCCAGCGGCAACAAACGCTTTGCCACCTCCACTCAGCAGCCTGTGTACGCAATGGCGCAGTGCCGAAACTACCTCTCCACGGCGGACTGTGTCGCCTGTCTCGACGCCGCCGTGGTTGCAACCCGGAACTGCTCCAAAAAAACCGGTGGTTATATCGTTTTTGATGGCTGCTTCCTCAGGTGATCGAGTTTTCTGCATATATAATTTAATTTTCATCATATTATTTTAGATCAAAGTTGTTATACCATGAACTAAACTTTACCTTGCATTATGCACCTACTACAATTAGCCTATGATGCACCCGCACTTAACCTATTATCGAACTGTCTTTAATAAATTATATACTTGCATTTATTTAACGTATTATAAAAATTTGTGTGAGATCATGTCTTTTGAGACAGATTGTGTTGTAGGCAATTAGGTGTGTAAGTATCACAATTTTAATTATAAACATTAAAATATTTATAATTAGTAACAATTAATTTTATCCTAAGTAGTATTATAATTTCACATATAAGTATTATAATATCTATTATAAATAACATTTTATTTATTTTAAATTGGTATAAAGTTTTGTAATAAATATTACTCCTTCCGTCCCATTTTATGTATCTGGATCGGTTAACGAGGCTTGACTGAAGTTATTTTTAATTTAATTTTTTGTAATATTAAGTTTAGTATTAGTATACGAATAAATTCATATATTTAGAAATTACACTAAAAGAAATATTAAATACAAAATATCAAATTTAAAAATAAAAAAAAAAATACTAAAGAAAATAAACAAAGAAAAAGATTTGATTTAACAAATGAATACTAAGTATGACAGATAAAATGAGAATGTGACAAAGGAAGTATTATTTATATCAATAGTAACAAACAACTATATATTTTAAATCTGACAAGTGTGACTCTTTATTTAGGTGCATAATCTGTTAATTAAAGGTGTGCATAATCAGTTAATTAAAAGTGCCCATAATTTGAATATCATTTAAATAACCGTTTACATAAATCCTAATAGATGGTATAATTTAAGTTGTTATGAACTTATGATAATAAATTATAAATAAATACCTGGAGGTGTTGTGTTTTTGTATAGGTACGAGAACAGTTACTTCTACGAGATGATTAAAGGTTACGGGACCTATCCAGTTTGCGGCACACGAACTGCCCCCGACCAATATGTTTTCAATACGACAGCAAAACAAGTGCTATATGAGCTTCAACTTGCAACCCCCAGAATTAATGGCTTTTTCGCCGCAGCAAAGCAGGAGGCCTCTGCTGGTGGTGCTGCCGCCTTTGCGGTGGCACAATGTATTGAAACAATCGACGAAATTGGGTGTCAGGCATGTTTGACAATAACTTACAGAAACATACTGCTTTGTTTATCAAAATCTGCCGCTGCAAGATCTGTCGCCCCAGATTGCTTCATGAGATACTCAAACAAGCGCTTTTTCCCCAATAACCAGACAACTAACCTAGCACCCTTCCTAAAAACAGGTATAAAATCGGTTCTGTTCTCTTAATGTTTCTTAAGCAGCTAGCACTCGTTTTTACCCTGCAGATTAACTGCTAACATCTATCGATCTGATCTTCTCCAGGGAGTTCAGGAAAGAAGAAAGCTATTATTGCAGGTGTAGTCAGTGGTGTGGGAATCATATTGGTATTAGCAGCCATTTTCCTTTGGTATAGACAATCAAAAAGCCCAAAGGCTTCAAGAAGAGGTGAAGCTCAATCGTTTAGTGGCTAATTTTACCCTTCTTTTAGTTGATACATAGAGTTTTCACTGTTTGGTTAACTTATGGACTGTCTTCTTCCTTCTATAGGCAATATTTTGGGGGCAACTCAGTTCAGAGGTTCAGAGAACTACAGATATAAAGATTTGAAAGCTGCAACAAAGGATTTCAGCAAAGAAAATAAATTAGGTCAAGGAGGATTTGGTGATGTATACAAGGTCAATACCAAAGATTCCACTAAAGAGAAGTCAATTTCACTATTTCCCCATTCTTTTTCTTGCTCATATTATTACAATTTGTCAGTGAATTGAAGAAACTTCAGAAACAATAACCAAACCCAGTCTTCTATGACTAAATAGGGCACGCTACAGAATGGGAATGTGGTGGCAGTAAAGAAACTGACAATAATTTCCAGTAGAGCAATGACAGACTTCGAGACTGAAGTTATGCTTATTACAAATATTCATCATCCCAATCTCATTCGTCTATTGGGATATTCTGGTGATGCAGACGAGCTGCTACTGATTTATGAATACATGGCAAATGCCAGCCTTGACAGATACATATATGGTGGGTGCCCCTAAAACATATATTGTTATTGTGATCTGGCTCTGATCTTGTGCTGGGGTTTATAAAGTTTTCCCATTTTTCATGATTGGCAGGAGAGAATCGGGGGATGCTGAATTGGATGCAACGGGTTGATATAATATTTGGTACAGCTAGGGGTCTTTCCTATCTGCATGAGGTGTGCATCATACACAGAGACATAAAATCCAGCAATATACTACTAGATGATGAATTCCAACCAAAAATAGCTGATTTTGGTTTGGCGAGGCTTTCACCTAAAAATAAGAGTCATCTTACCACTAAATTTGCAGGGACTTTGTAAGCCTAGCTAACAGCCTCATTTCTTTGCCACATTTTCTTTTCCACATCTTTAATTTCAATTCACTAAATTATGCTATTGCATGTTGCATGCAACAGGGGATATACATCGCCCGAGTACGCTATTTATGGTCATTTATCAGAGAAAGTTGACATCTACAGCTTTGGTGTTGTGATCCTGGAGATCATTAGTGGGCGAAGGAGCACTGAAATACGAGTTGAGCCTGTAACTGAGTATCTCCTTGAACTGGTAATTAATGTCAACTTATCTGAAGAGTGAAGAGGCTGATTTATATATGTTGATATCTTCAACAAATTATTTGACTTTTGCATTGCATCATTTTATAAATACAGGCATGGAAATTGTACGAGAATGAGGAACATCTAGGACTAGTGGATAAGAGTTTAGGCCCAAATGAGTATAAAGCAGAAGAAGTGAAGAGAATGTTGGAAATTGCATTAGTGTGCACACAATCACCCTCCAATCTAAGGCCAAGCATGTCAGAAGTGATGGGCATGCTTTCAAGTATTGATGGCTCAATCATTCGGAGACCCCAAATCAGGCCTACTATTATTACTAATAATTTCTATTAGAGGGTACCTGCAGTCACTGCAACACCTACTAATGCCACCATTTCACTTTCTGAATTCTCAGGCCGCTAGCTAGCTAGGCTTTTAGAAACGAAACGAAAATGATATATGGATTCTCATGGAATAAATTTTTTGACATTTTTGTGATTTTATTGATAGAAAGTAGTTGAAAATTTTGGTGGGGAAGGTGTTATTTGTACACAGGTTGATATTGATGATGTAGAAATGGAAGTGGAAGAAGGTCTAATTTCTCACTGGAATATGTTGCTGCTAAACTTGCTGCAAATGTAGTTAAATCCTGGCACAGAAAGAACATTGAAGGTTACCTTTAATTTTTGAGTTCTAAGTATGCAATTCTGGAAAGGATTGCCCTGACAAATTAGATGCCAACAGCACACTCTGGAGCTGTTAATAAGGACCTTGCGGAACTGTTATATTGGATTGGAAGAAGAATTTCAGTGGACATTGGTTAAGTAATATTCAATCATATAATGTCCTTTCAAGGGAGTAAAGAAGCCTAAGTCTCCTTACTATTTTCAAGCCTAATCTACGTTGTTATGTACAAACAAGGCTTGGTTTTCAAAAAAAAAAAAGTACAAACAAGGCTTTAGATAGAAAATATAACTTTGAATAGTTGGAACTAGTAGAGGTGGTCACGGATTGGTTAGTCCTTGATTAAATCTTTGGTTAAAAATAAGTCTAACTAATCTGTGTGGGTACGACCTTACTCATCACTATTGCAATTTATAAGAGTAAATAATTTATTATTTGTTGGATTCGACACCCATCATCTACTTTTACTTACAAGTGCATGTAAGTTTACCTTGTTGACATTCATGCACCTAGGTGCAACGTACTACTTATAACTATATGTGCACCTAGTTATAACGTTAGTTGCACTTAGTTTTGATGCTCGGTATTTACTTACACTTGTAATACATTTTACCTGCACTTGTAATACATTTTATATGCACTGAGATGCACTATATGAAACTGCTACTTGTACTTGTAATACATTTTACTTGCACGTCGATGTTCAATTATTTATTGGGACCCACACAAAAAAATAACTTATCAGAATCCGCCGCATAGGGAGTAAAATTTAGAAAGTAAAATTAGGGAGTAAACTACTTATAGATTTTGTTAACATTAACAATTTATTTTGAATTTCTAAATTAGTAAAGGATATATATTGATCATTTTGTAAAAAATTTCCAAATTTCTTCCATTAATCTTCATATATACGTTACTTTTGCTAAATACTTGTTTGTCTTGATTGAGGAAGAATTTGAGAAGCAAAAATGATAAGTAGAAAATTACTTAGATTGAAAATACACTGATTTGTAAGTTTCATATTTTTTTGAAAAATCAATCTGTCGATTGTATTAATTGATGAAAGCTATAATAGCATCAGGAGGGATAGACTCCCAATACATAGAATGTTCCTGTGTAAAAGCTAACGAAGCTAAAGTATGCGCATGTAAATTAAACTGTCTAGGCACATAGCTTAACGAAACAGAACTAAATAAGGACATCATTGTCTTGCACTGATCAATTACTAACCCAGTGTACGAGTGAACGGGCGTAGTTTGGTGATGTATAGCAGCTCGCAGAACAATACAATCCGTGAGCAGCTCGGCTGAATTTGTAAGTTTCATATATATGTTAGTTTATTACAATTTTTTCTTTTGTTGAATGTAAATAATTGCTCTCCGATCCCTCTCTCTCCCTATCTCTCTCTAATAGTAAATTACTCGTTTTGTTATCACATTGAGTTCATAATTGAAAGCAACAACATCATTATCATTATAAATTTAAAAAGCAAAATAATTGAAATTATATACTTAGGTTATCATTTTGCTGTATGTTTTGATGCATATTAAACTATTTGCAAATTACTTTGTATTTTGTGCAATCCATGTATGGATGCTTTTGGTTGTTTTGGTATTTGTTAAACAAATGCATCCTATATTATTATTTTGTACAACTTAAGATATTATTTTTTAGTAAAAGTATGATAATAAAAATATATGGAAAGAATTTGAGAACATTTTACAAAATAATCAATATATCCTTTAATAATTAAAAAATTCAAAATAAGTTGTTAATATATATTAACAAAATTTTAAATAACAAATAAAAACTTTCACTTTCAACATAATTAAAGGTAAAAATTTGTATATGATAATAATTCATAGTCTAAATCTATAATTTAAAGTATAATAATTAATTAATGTACTAAAACTGTTAATTTTCCAAAGTTAAAACTAACTATTAATTAATTTATTTTTTTGAAAGGAAACTAACTATTAATTAAATTTAACACTTGTAATGTTCATTTAACCCAAGTGAATTTAATCTGCAACTTGGATTCAAAGGGATCGGAGCGTTATGTTGTGCAACCGTGTGCACCTTGAATTGAATCTATAATTTTTATACTATAGATTCATAATTTCTATACTATAGATTTATAATTTCTAAACTGTAGATTCATAATTTCTGTAATGTATATTCATAATTTTTAAACTGTATAGTTATCAAATTATGAACAGATAATCAGTGATTTGTGAATACAGAGTTCAACAATTGGAAATATGAACATTGAAAATTATGAACATAAAATTTTGTAATTGCGAATATAAAGTTTAATAATTATGAATCTATAGTATAAAAATTATGAATCCAATTTCGTGTACACCACTGTTACACAGCATAATTTGCCGATTCAAAGTAAACCAAATATAACACCCCCGTTCACACCGTACCGTTGCCATAACGAAACAATTATACCGTAACTGGTGTCCAAGTGTGGCCCCTCGAGTCACCCCTATTTACATAGTGGTCAACGCAAAGGTCTTCATCAACGAACACCTTGTCTCACGTTCAAGTTATCATCTATTCAAGGGCTTTTGTCCAAAATAGAAGAAATTAAGGGATCATTTACTTCATTTCTCTATTTTTACATTTTCAATTTTTTATTTCTCTAATTTTTTAATTTCCCTTCCCCATTCCTTCAGTTTTTCATTTCTCTAATTTTCTAATTTTATTCCTCATTCCTCTAATTTTTAATTTTTTTTTATTTCTCTCTCTCTCTCTCTCTATATATATATATATATATATATATATATATATATTATGATTTTTTTCAAAAAAAATATAAAATATGATTTTCTTAAAAATAATTTTATAATTCGTTTCATCACATAAAAAAATTCAATACACAAACAATAAATGTAAAAAAGGTAAAAGAAAATTACTAAATAAATAACAATTATTTCAATCATTTTAAAACTGCACATAGTTTGATTGCACAATAAAATGCGCAAAATTCCATTAAATACAATTATCTCATATAACATTTGTACAATAAATAAATAAATTAATAATAATAATAATAATAATAATAATAATAATAATAATAATAATAATAATAATAATAATAATAACACTGTGTGCACGTTAATAATAACTAGTATTTGCCTCGTGCGATGCACGGACAAATATTTATAAGTATTATTGTAATGTTATGATACAAAACAAAATTAGTTTTATTATAAATGTAAGTATACTTATACAATGTAATATTTAAATGTTAAGACAATAAATGCATTCATATTGCTAATCTCATTTGCAATAATGATCTTACAAAGTTAAACGGACAGAAAAAGATCCGGACCACCTCGTGATTTACACACAAAAAAAAAATAATAATGATCTTACAAATCTATTAATATGCAATCACAATTAGGCGGAAATTTTTTTTCCCTACTTGATTTTAATTTACTTTACCTAACTTTCTTTGTAAATTATTAAAAAACTAATAAAAATTACAAACTATTAAAAAGTTAGTGTGTATATATATATATATATATATATATATATATATATATATATATATATATATATATTTGACATTACAAAAATAAAAAATAAATCAATTGACACTAAATAATATAATATAATAAAAAATAAAAATTTTAATATAACAAATGCTGGGCCAATATATAATTACATTTTTTTAAAAAACTTTATGGGTCAAACCTATCCCTTGCAGCAGCCCATTTTTCCAAAGCCCACTCACACTTTTAGAGAGAGCTAGTATTCTGCTTTATTATATATATATATATATATATATATATATATATATATATATATATATATAAAAGAAGATAATAATAATAATAATAATAATAATAATAATAATAATAATGTGTGGAATACATGCACAGTAGGAAGCCTGGAATCGTAAAAGAAGGGAAAAGGGGAAAAAACGTTAAGGGGAAAACAATATGTGAAGTACGTACACAAGGGAAAAGAAAAAAACGTAAGGGAAGGACGCATGCACAACAAGAATCGAACAATTGACCTCACACTTTCACAACACTATTCACCGGCATTTTGTCTCCAATTTTTCATTTGGAAAGATCTAAATTAGTGTTATCCAAAACAATACATAAAACTGGAGAATGGAGAGAAGAGAGACAATTAGAGAAATGATTTTAGTAAACAAGTTTTTCATTTTCTATTTTTCCACTCCTCCAATTCTCTATTTTTTCAAAAAATTCTTCATTTTTTCATTTTGATAAACAGCCCTAACTTTTTCATGACAAAACAATAGACATTTTCTGAAAGGGTCATATTTTTACAAATCATTATTCGTGAGATGAGTTGGATGGGCCGATCAATATGTTCAATTGTAATACTAATCAGGAATAAAAAATTTGTTACTTATAAAGGAAAATGTAATATTTTTACATTTTGATGTAAAAGTATTATATTTTTCATAAAAAATATTACATTTTTCATAATAAGTAATGTTGACAAGTCCCCCTTACTTATAAAGAAAAATATAATACTTTTGAAGAAAAATGTAATACAAGATACATTAATTAAATCATTAGATTTAATATAAAATGATGATTTAATCCATGTACAAAGTAAATAAGACATCAACATTCCTTCCCATCGAAGTTTAATTCATGTACAAAGTAAATAGGCACACACCTCCGCTTGTTCTCCGGGCATGCCCGTAAGTAATTATTGTGCATTCATGTAAAATTTATTATGCATTCATGTAAAATTTATTGTGCATTACTAAAGAAGTTCACAAGTT